GGAACCCCCACTATCTGTTGCACAGGTTTCGCTCACTCTTTCTCTCTCTCCTTCTGTAACACCCCAAAAAAATACAAATAATCTAACTCATAAGAGAAATGAACATAAATGAATTAATATACTTTCATTCATCAGAGTTCGTATTATAAAAGATAATACATTCAATACATATTCATAAATGTTCATCTTGAATCTATAGCATTTAACATCAATTAATGACAACAAAATAAATGCCCTACGGGCTTACATCTTTCCAAGATATAACTTGGTTACAACAAAAGAGAGTCATATGCTATGTACATATAAAGCCCATGGCTTGAATAAACATCTAAGCATTTAAACAACAAAATGGAGCCTCTAGCTACTAAGTCCTCCCAATCTACGTTCTTGGAGGAAGCATGTCACCGGTACCTGAAAGTGGTTTCCCAAGTAGTGTGAGCCAAAGCCCAGTAGAGATAGTCTAACACAATATATGAGATTTTAACTAAGATATAAGTGTCAGATAAACATTCAATATTTATAACCAATTTACATTCTTCCCATGACCATTCAGTACTGATACTCACATCTCAAACCATTTCCATTTATTCATTTCAAGTCAATTCATTTCATTCAAGTCATACACCAAGTGTATAATTTTCCAAATAACTCAACCGAGACTACAACTCAGTGGTTCTCAATCAACATAACTATCATACAAGTACTTCAACCTTGCAATTTTAAGGAGATTTCGTCCGCGGGATCGGTACCCATGTATACATAAGATTTTGGGACTTTCACCCTGGACACTCCGACCAACTTAATTCTCAATAAAGTCCATCCCGTATCCCCTCCCAAACAATGGAGTACATCCCATTTCTCCTCCCAAAATATTATACATATACAATATATTTAAAAGTATCGTCATATTCAATGACTATTAACTATGCATATTCAATGCCTTATCATACTGTCATATTCAATGACACAATTTAAGTGATTAGCTTCAATTCATCTAATTCTCATGCAATTTCTACAATAATCATAACTATTCTCCACCGATAGCCCAGTACAAATATTTCTAAACAAATATACAATCTCTATAACAGATAATTCATCAAATTTTCATAGGTGAGTGATTAAACAAATCCAACAACACCATTCATCTATGCTTTTCCCCAATTTCATATTTTCTATGCCAATTTCATTATTTATACAAAATAATTATTTAAGACATATTAGAGCAAATTTTCCCATTTTTCAAATATTAACCCAAAGGTTAAAATTTACCATTCTAAAACAAGGTGACCCCATATTCAAAACCCCACAATCATTTATGTAACACAACCTAGAAACCCATCTTTTCAATTTGAATTCAAACCATAGGTTTACTCAAATACTCCCAAAGTCTCACCATTTATACATAACAACAAATAACTAGGTTAAAAATCATATCAAGGTGTAGAATATCCCTACCTCAAGTCTAGAAGCTCAAAGGAGAAGATGGAGATACTTCAAACAAGCCGAAATCACAATCTATTCGAATCAAAATGGAGTCCTCAAGGAGCTCTACCTTTTTAACAAGGGCCTAAGGTTGAAGAAATCAATGGATAAGGGTAAAAATGTAGAGAGAGTGTGAGTTTTAGAGAGAGAGAGTCTCAATCTAGGTTTTTTGAAAGTTTTAGAAAGAGAAAGAAATGAAAAAGTGATATAAAACATCACTTTCTCGATCTGATATACACACAATCTGTTCGAGTGGAAAAATTGACGCTCGAGCGTCAGACACAACATTTTGTTCCGCTCGAGCGCAAAATAGACTCGCTCAAGCACAGAATACACACCTCCAGCATTTTACAAACAACAGACAAACCGCTCAAGCTCAAAAAAGTCCATTCGAGCGCCCACCCGCTTGAGCGGTGGAAATGCCGCTCGAGCATGAAAAACACCCTTCCAGGATTTTGCAGACGTGCAAAGTACTGAGTATTTGCAAATCTCGCTCGAGTGGAAGACCAAAACTCTGGGCAACAACATTCTAGATCTACTGGCAACCAACCTGTTTTAAACACACCCAAGACATTCCAAAATTCAAATTTAAAGAGGAAAATGAGGAAAAGATATAAATAACAATATTAAACCACAAGACCCAAGTCCGGAATACAACAAAGGTCGGATCAAAACCGAAATCACTATACCTTCCTTTTTCACAAAGATTTTAATAGATTAATGAACTTCCAGCATTTGCCATTTTTTAAAAATAGATGTCAAATCAATTAAGATGGTCAGTTCTGCAGTCTTATAATTTTCTCAAATGGCATAAACACGCTCATCAAGCTGTTGTAAAAGCTTTGGAAAGTGGTGGCAATCTAAGCAGCGTCAGCAGGAGAATTGAGGAAGCTATGTATTCCAATAGATGAACCCTTAAGTGCAAAATAATACTGCTTCCCCCTTCCTCCCATTTTAAAAACAAGGTGACCTCTCTCTCTCTCTCACATATTTTTCTTGGGCGCTAATTCTGGAATTTACATGAGTGCAGTGTACCTAGGCTTGTAACTTTGGCAGGAGAGAATGAGTAGGAGGCATAAGAAGTCCAAAATGTTATAGCCAATACTCATCACTTACCTGTCATGATCAATGGCCTTTGATTTAAAGTTGGTTTTGAATTTTCACCTGGTGGGTAGGACTCTGTGGAAGATAAATGTATTGAACTTATTATTTGTTTGTAACAATAAAAGTTTGGTCACAATACATTCCAAAGGGTTAGGACACTAAAAGATTAGAAAAATCATGGGGTGAAGTGGAAAATTTCACCCTTCAAATCTAGGGTTTAGCTTCTCATTTGAAAGGCTATAGAATGTGGATTCTCATGGTGCTACCATTTCTTGACTTGGTGCCTCGCAGAGATGAGGTTGGTTGGAGCATTTACGGTTGTACATTGCCATTTTTTGTAAAAGCAGCTTCCTTAGAGGCCTGGTGGCCATGATTAGTTTTTTATGTTCTTAATATTATCTTCACTTCCCTTTAATTGAAAATGATGTATTAGAGTTGAATGACTGTGAATTAAAGTTGTACAGGGTATAAACTAGGAACCATCTTTAACAAGTTTCCCGTTGGAACTATTTATTCTTCTTTTCCAATTGTTTCACTATTTGTTTTGTTAGTTTAGTCCATACTTGGCTTTACAAACACGAATATGTTATGCTAATCCAAATAAGAGATCGATGATTGTGACAAGAATTTTCCTTTTCTTTCTTCGGTCATCGGAAATAATGTCAGCCGAAAAAGTTTATTTTTCAAAAATATGCTCTTCTCTCTTATTATCTCAATGTGTGGAACTACTACTTATTTTTCACTTAAATTCCCAAGTGAAGGTGATATTGTCAAAGAAAAATTTAGCTTCATCTATGATGAACATTGATAAGATTAATGAACATTCAATTCAACTCTTCAACTCTTCTTTTAAAACAAATTTGGGAAAGTATTTTAACACAATTGATAAGATTAATAACATAATAAAGAAATGGTGTCCTAAAAATAAGAAAGGAGATTGAAAAGTTTATTAATTTAACATGCAATTTTATTTTGATGGATAAAAATGGGTAGTGAATGTACAAGCATATTGGAGTAATATATTTGGGTTTTATTTGGCTAATAAATTTGATGAGGAAACGTAATTATATATATTTTTTCATTGTTTGTTTGTTTGTTTTTTTATTTTTTGTTTTTAATAAACAAAAAGGGGAAATAAATTATTATGAAAAAACTAGAGAAATATTCACCGTTAGATATCATATTTTCGATTATTTTCTTTTTTTGAACAAATTTTTGTTATTTAAGTAGGAAATAAAATATAGAAAATAGAAAAGTTTAGGTGATATGTGGTAACGTTTACATTAGTAAATTTATGTTTATTTTTAGAAAAACAAAAATGCAATCACATTTGGTTTAAAAAAAATATTAAAAAAAAATTAAAAATGAAAATTCAAAAACATGTTTGTTTAGTATTAATGTATAAAATGTTTTATTTTGTATTTTAATTATTTACGACAATGAAAATCATAAAACTATAATAAATATCCAAAATATAAATATATTAATACAATACTAACTATTGATCAATTTAAAAGTTAAACATTCATAATTAGGTTATGCTTCACATTACATTACATGTGAAACTTAACTATTCATAATTTTAATTAAAAGAAGTACCAAATTGACAAAGTGAAGCATAGGAAAAGTGTTATGCATAAATATAAATCACAATTATAGTTTAAATGTAAAGCTTCTTTTCATTTTGGGACACACATTTCATGCTATTGTATAATTTAAACACCAATTGAATTATCTAACAACAGTAAATACATAAAGTTAAAAACAAAAATGTTTTTTTTTTAAAAAAAACAGAAATATCTTCTTTTTTTTGGGTATAAATTGGGACCAAATAAATTTTTATACTAGTTTTAAAATTTTGATAAATATAAAAGTATAAATTGGAACCAAATAAATTTTTATACTAGTTTTAAAATTTTGATAAATATAAAACAAAATGATTAGCCAACAGGGTTATCCTTTTTAAGCTATTTCAATGTGATTGGTTCAGCTTAATAATACAGTTTATAATTTTTTGTAGGTCAAAAATCAACTAATTTTTTTGAGTGGAGAGAAAAAACTTAATTTATAAGTCAAAAATTAACTTACATTCACAATTTTAAAATATAAACTGTTAGACTATAAATTATAATCATTTTCTCACGACACTACCAAACAGGCCGCATATGAGACGAGCACCGAACAGAGGCTTAATAGATTTGGGCCGGGGTTTATTGAAAAACAGTTTGGGCTGTTTTTTTGGCATTGGTGTGGTACTCGTATAAAATCCGTTTCAATCAATCCCCTTCTTCCTGTTCCGTTGGTCTCCGCGCTGTGTCTGTCTGTCTGGTCGAGTTCGCTCTCTCTCACTTGGAACATCTCAATCTCCCATCTGAGTGGTAGCAGCTGGGTTTGTTTAGGGTTTATTGGTTAAAATGAGCAGTTGGAAGAGTTTGCTTCTGCGAATCGGAGAGAATTGTCCCGAGTATGGTGGAATTACCGATTTCAAAGATCACATTGTCAGTATTCTTTCCACTCTCCTCTTCTTTGCACTTTTCAAAAAACCCTAACTTTATTTATTTATTTATTATTTTTCCAGAACAATTGCTTAATGTTACAACTTACGCTGTGTCTCAATTTTATTTTGCAATTGCAGGAGACATGCTCTGGTGTGGTTCGGCGAGAGTTAGAGCACTCGGAAACTGATATTTTGCATGTATCTTCTTTTACTTGTTTATTTTTCTTGTATTTTTTTTTTTAAAACTCAAATTGTATAATATATATATATATATATACTAGGGTGTGCTATTAAATTTGTAAAATATAAATTTTGATTTTGAATTAGAAATATATGCAGCGTTTGTTGATGAAGTGGTAAGGGTGTTATTTTTCAAATTCAAATCTTGCGCACTTTACTCTATAATTTTCTTTTTTCTTTTTTGATATAAAAAAATCGACATGGCAAAAAGAGGGAGCAAGCTTCAAGAGAGTAAGTGGGTGTTTGGGAAGTGGATTTTTTTATTTTATTTTTTTGTACGTTTGTTTAGTTGTGGGATATTACTAGAGAATTTTTTTTTGTGTTTGGGAAGATATTTGGGTTTTTTTTTGGTTAGATGTGATGTTTGTAAGAAAAAAAGTGAAATGATTATGGGGTTTGATGTGATATTTTGTTTGGATTTGTTTTTTTTGGTTTTGTAACTAATTTGTCTTTTAGTGAAAAAAAACAAAAAAAAACCTAAAAACTAACTTTCCAAACACCCCCTAAAGTGAGTTGCTCACATATATAATAGTATATATATATGTATATATATTTGTTAACAGACTAGATTGCTTAAGAAGATAGCCCCAAATTTTATAATTGCCGGGAAGAATGCATAAGTTTGCATATCGATTTTACAGTTAGTCTGTTGCTGGCACACTTATGTGACTGCTTGTGAAGTTCTCCCACCACAACATTTGTACTTGTTTAGGGTTCAAGTGTTGGGTGCCAGTCTAAGTATATCAGCAATCATGTTGAATTTACTTTTTATTTGTCTTAGAAATGCTTGGATTGGATTGTGATGTGAGTAATATTTGTTGATCCCTTCCTAATATAGTATATTACTTCACACTACGAGATAACTTAATTTAGATTTGCTATTCTAGGCAACTTTCTGCTGTTTTTACTATGATTGACGACTTTAATGATTCTTTCCAATGTGCTTCGTGCAAAAACACGTGAATAGCAGAGTCTTTTTGGCGTTTCTATATTGCTTTCATTATATTTGGATGCTGATATATTTACTTTATTCTCTCCATCTTGACAGTACATTGTCCAGTGTGCTGAACAATTTCCTCACAAGATTCCTCTCTATGGGACGGTGGTGAGACAAATGCTCCTTTTTTATATCCTTTTATATTTTTTTCCTTGTGTCATTTTGGTTGACCCATTCTCTCTGCCTACATTTATGTGTACGAGTATAGAAACTATAGATAAGTAGCGTAGAAAAATTCTTGCACTGAACTTTTTTTTCAAAGATTAAGCAAGGTTTGAAGTTTATTGAAACTAAAGAATTGAATTTGAAATTGTACCACGTGGATGTTCACATCTAACATGGTGAAGAGAATGCTTGAATCCAGGATATATAGATTAGGAGTTGCAAGATAATTTTGGGCTGGGTACTACAAAGAAAATCCGTATGTGTAGGGATTCTGGACAGAGATCAGCATAGCCACATGAATAGAACAGTGTTAATCAAATGTCTGCCCTTTAAAAGTCCTTAATTTTGCTGCTAAAAACAAATTAGTACAACCTTTGCTACTTCCCTCGGTGTGTGTGTGTGTTAGAGCTAGTATCTGTTGTTGTCTGTTTGTAGTTGATCATTTGAGTTGTATATCTCATGGAAGGATTTCTCATCATTTATGCATCATCTATAATGCTGTTCATTCATTTGAAAATATGGCCGGTCCGATCTTTTTTATTATGCATTTTGAATCTTTGATTGTTGCTTCTGTTTTTGAACTGTTTTTTTGAACATCTGAGAAACTCTCTCTTTGTGCAGGTTGGTTTGTTAAATTTGGAAAATGAGGATTTTGTTAGAAAAGTAGTGGAGAATACTCAAACTACTTTGCAGGTGAGAAAGGCTCCAACCTTGAAAGCATAAGAATATATCTTCTAGTTTTTGTTCTGTAGTTGCAAGCTTTGTTTTTACATTATAATGGGTTTTGTTAAAGTATAAGATAGCGTAAAAGATTGTACATTTTTTATAACATACACTTTCACGCAAAATGTACAATCTGTTTAAGCTTCTTAACATGTGCCCTAAGGACACACATGCAGTATTTTGCCTTTACTATTACTTGCTTTAGGCTCCTTTCTTGTGTATTTTCAGGATGCTCTAGTTGCTGGAAATTGCAACAGGATTCGTATAATGATGCGGTTTCTCACTGTTATGGTAGGTTTCGTGTATTGTTATCATTTTGTCCTCCATGACTTAGCTAAGTTGAAGGCAAAGTCGGTTCATTGTGAACATTGACACTGCAGTTGGATTTGTTGAATAAAGAATTCATGTATTATAAATCTTTATTGTTCTCCCATTTATTTGAAATGGAAATACAGGGATATAGTAACGGGGACAGTAATGGAGGACCATCCATCTACAAAATTTTGATTTAAGTAAGATGGTGAGATTTAGTAGGCAATCATAGCTTATACTACCATTCTAACCTCCTTTCCTTCCCTTTTGCAAATTGAGGGAAAAGCTGGTTGTTCACGAATCTCAGGATGTTTCTTATTCTTTTTCTTTATTTAGTTTGGTTTACAATTCTTTATCTTTCACTCTACGCCCTATTTCCAGATGAAGTTCTAGTGACCACCTTTACTGTTCTTACTAATTGGCAATCCTATAGGGTGTCTAGTATGGTTTTTGGCTTAGTCATGCATACCAAGGTCCCTAATATTTCTTTTTTGAGTCATCATCATCAAAATATTGATGTTTATTACTATTAACTATCAAAGCTTCAAATAATAAAATAATATATTGCTTTTAGATCGTATAGTTGTTGCTTTGATGTTCTCTAATGTTAATTTTGCCGTTTTGTTGCCTGTAGATGTGCAGCAAAGTCCTCCAACCAAGTTCTTTAGTGGTTGTCTATGAGACACTATTATCATCCGCAGCAACAACGGTGGATGAAGAAAGAGGAAATCCCTCTTGGCAAGCATGTGCTGACTTCTACATAACTTGCATTCTATCCTGTCTCCCTTGGGGAGGAGCTGAACTTGTCGAGGTATCTATCATTTATTCATTATGTGAGGTTAGCAGGTGGTTACACATTCCGTGGTTTTATCCGGGGTCTCACCGAAGGTGTGGTCAAGGGGTTCCTCCTTAAGAAAAAAAAAGAAACTATCATTTATTTATTATGGTTTCTACCTCCTTCCTTCCTCTTTGTTCTGCTTATTTTTCTTCTGAGTTTTTGGTTCATAAATTTTTTTAACGAAATTAACTGGAATCATTTGCTTTCTAATATATTTAGAACTAAAGTGACTATTAAATAGTTGCATAATTGATAAAATCTTTGGACTAGTGATTTTACCCATATGATTAGATTCAATTCACTGCCTCCACGATACAATTGATGGGACAAAATTCATATTGCAATGCATTTATGTCAAAATAGGGAGTAAGAGGATTCGTTGTTTGTAATGTTTTGTGCAATTTGGTATCCTGTCCAAATTGCTAGACCCTTTTTTTGCTTCCCGCCAAATAAACTTTTAAACCCTTATTTAGGTTTTTAGGTTAAAATATACTAATGTTTGTTGCTCTTACCTTCTTTTGTAGATCTAAAAGACAACAAATTTTATTTTTCTTTTTCTAATATATTTACAGCAAGTTCCTGAGGAGATTGAGAGAGTTATGGTTGGCGTTGAAGCTTATTTAAGAATTAGAAGGCATACTTCTGATATTGGTTTCGCTATTTTTGAGGATGTTGATTACACTGAGAAAGCTCTTGATGAAAAGGTATTATTTCCTTATAGTAGTTCTCTGTCATTTGATGAATATTGGATGCTGCAAATTTGCTTATCCTTTTTCTGGTAAGAAACCGAAATATTGTTGAGATTGAGTGGTAGAGGTTGTAATATGAGATAATCGGCATTTTGGTCTGAGTCAGGGTAAGTTTGATTTATCAGGGCTAGTTCGAGGTTTTTGGCTGACAAGTTTATGCATAAAATTATCAAGTATAAGGCTGTCGTTTTGTTGGAATAAATAATGGCTGCAGATTCTCCACTTTTAACTTTTGCCATTATAATTTTATTTCAGGATTTCTTAGAAGATTTATGGGGTCGGATCCAAGATCTGTCCAGCAATGGATGGAAACTTGAGAGTGGTATTCTTACGTTCACCTTATTCTGTCAACTTTATTCCTCTCTTTGATTGTTCTCTGCATTAATCATACAAATTTGTCTGTGCAATTTTATTCAGAATTGTATGCTTTGATTTCATGCAATTTCTGTGTTGATCATTGAAAACTTAATGAGCAAAAGAACTCGAAGTGGTGTAGAACTTTCTAGAGAAGTTTCTTGTTATGAAATGAGAATTGTGTATGGACATTTCATGCACTTTCTGTGTTGATCATTGAAAACTTAATGAGCAAAAAGAACTTGAAGTGGTTTAGAACTTTCTCGCGCTTCTATTTATTGTTTCATGTGATGTAGTTGAGGAAGAACTTTAGTTGATGTACTCTCATGATCTCATCCCCTTTATTTAGGTTTGCGGATGGAAAACTTCATCGTTTACCGCATCCTTGAAAGGTGATGAATAGACAGGTCAGCCACATAGATTACCTTTTGATGGGATGAACAATAATCATGAAGTGAAAATAACTCAGTTTGAGCAAAGATTTTGAGGAAGATAGGGATCCAGTTATGCCTGTGTTTTTTCTTTTCCCCCTTTTTAATACTATTTTTCTTTTAGTTCTTTGGCACAATGCTATTCATTTCCAACCTTTTTCCTTTATGTGGTTGATTTGAACAGTATGAATCAGAATATTTCAAGCCAAAGGGACAAGGTAGTTTGGATGAAAACTTAGAAAAGAGTTAACATGTAGGAAAATGTTGTTTCTTGCCTTAATTGAGAGTTTGCTTGAAATTGGAAAGTATATATAGTTTGCCATGGGATGGTGCAACCAGATGTGTAAAATTGTTGTCTTTCAACACATATTTGTAGTTCTGAACTATTCAATTGTGGCTTATATCTATTTCTTGCATTGTACTACACTTTATCTGCTGTACAATGAGTTTGACCTTCTAGATTTTACATTAAAATTATGGTTATTACTTGGTTTTGTTTCTGTTGCCTGATTTTGTGCAACCTTTTTTTGTTCTAGTTCCCAGGCCACACCTTTCATTTGAAGCACAGCTGGTGGCTGGAAAAGCTCATGATTTGGAGCCAATTAATTGCCCTGAGCAACCAGATCCACCTGCAGTACTCTCTGCTATCACCTGCGGCAAACAAAAGCATGAGGCTGAGTTGAAATATCCTCAGAGGATACGCAGGCTCAACATATTTCCTGCAAATAAAACTGAGGTAGTGTATTAGTTTAAGATATAATCTTGTGCATTGGTGCTTCTATTCCTATTTTTGTATTTTCTTGTATTTACTTGTTTTTCTGTTTGCTATGCGTTCGCCTTCCCAAACCCTCTTGTGGGGTCAAGGGAAAAGTGATGCTGTGAATAACTAAGTTCCTGGACATGATACTGTATTTTTTTCCCCCTCATACCGGAGGGCCACGGAAGTTGTGTGTTTAATGCATGTCAATACTTGTGCTAGTTATTCTTTTTTGCATATTATAGTAATTAACTTTTGTCGGATTTAATGAATGTTTCCATAGTGCATAGTTTATAATCATGTATTATGTTTTAGTGATTTATCAAAAAAAAAAAATGTATTATGTTTTAGTGATGTAGTGATTGCTCTCATCATCTTTACCAATAATACAATATTGCATTTTGTTGACTAAAATCTGAAATATATTTTGTGAATGCTAATGAAGATTGACACCACATGCCGAACATCTAATAGGATATAAGATAGCTCTTTTCTTTGTATACATTTAATAAATGTTCTTTGTATACATTTAATAAATTTTTGGGCAGACTCTTGTGACAATCCCAACTCCACCCACCCTAGGAGTGTCAGGCGTGAATGGAAGGTATTATGTGTGATGTGTGTCTCTTCTATTAACTATTATGGCAATTAGGACAAGCTTTTGTAATGTTATTACCTTACTAAATCTGTGTATGCAGAAATGTTTTGATTGGAGTGACCTCTATAGTATTTCTTTGAAGTAGTGGAATCTTTGGCATGACTTTTTGTTATTTTCTTTAATAGGGATAAATCTTCACTTTGCAAGGATTTTATTGTTGTCCTTATTCACCTCCTCTTCTTTTTTCCTTTTCTTTTTTCCCCCCATGTATGACAGGATCTGCAACCTATAGATCGCTTTGTTGTGGAAGAGTATTTGCTGGATGTGCTTTTGTTCTTGAATGGCTGGTTTGTACTCGTCACTGACTCATTATCGTTATGATTTTAGCTCAATATCAGCATCATCATTTATGCCTTATTAACTTCATTGAGTTATTGCACTAGTAGGTTAATATTATTTCTAGTTTGTTTTGGGTAGATAAATGATTCAAATAGCCTAGAAAGTAGAAATATTGTTTACTTACAGTTTAATCTTTGTCAAGGATTACTACAGAGACACCTAATGAGGATGCAATTCCAAGCATGAATAGATTCCAAAACTTAATGTGTAGTGTGTTAATGTCTTTTTGAGGGAGGTCTTATGGAAAATGTTGAAACTTAATTTGGGTGGTTTTCCCCCGGCAATGGGGACTTATTTCATGTTGATCTTGGGTATAAATTTTGGGGATGTTCGTTGTGTGTATTTTACATGTGTATTTTTGTTGATAAGTAAAGCAATTTCATTAAGGTGCCGCAGAAAAGGAGGCAGAACCCTGTACAAACAAACAATGTATACTTCAAAATGGAAAGGCAAAACTATACCCTCCTATAGATCTTCTGTCACTCCCAAAAAGTCAACGAAAGAAGATTTAAAAAAAAAGGAAATCTCCCTAGCCCCGAGACTCATAAGTAGTGGTTAATGGAGTTGAAGTTGCCAATTTTATTTTTGATTTTTTTAATAGATACAAGCATTGCTCCTTTGAATCACAAAATCATGCTTTCTTCATTTTCAATAATATCTTTTATTCCTTCCTATGAAGCACAGATACTCCAAAATAGGTGCTGTACGAGAATACGAATACACGTCCGATACCGCGGAATATGTATCGGATACTATAAATAAGTATCCGATTTTTTATTTTTTTTAATTTCGGATACATAGGGAGGCACGAAGGATACTTGAGGGATACGGCAAGATATGCGAGGGATACGCCAAATAGTATCCAATTTTTTTTCTAATTATTATTTTTTATATTTTAATATACCAAATAAGTATATAATTTTTTTTCCAATTTTTTTATTATTTTATAATTATATTTTTTTCAATGGTCAATACTCTCCGCTCTCGTTCTTCTTCTCTTCTTTTTTTTTTTTCCTATCCCCTAGGCTACTTTATTTAATTTTTTTTCCACATTTTTTTTCCTTCACTGTGTAAAAAATCAAAAAGTTAACTTAAACAATCATTTTTTTTTTTTAATTTTTTAGTCAAAAAGACAAAAGTGTACTTATTTAGAACATCCAAACAATCCCTTAATTTATAAATAAGGGCAAATTACATATACACCCCTCGAGGTTTGGCTAAATTACAGATGCCCCCCTGAGGTTTCGGAAATTACATCCCGCCCCCTGAGGTTTGTATTTTCATAACAATTTGCCCCCTAAGGTTTATATTTCATAACAAATTATCCCCTAATTTCTTATGCAAATATAACATTCAGGGGGAAATTTGTAATTTCTCAAACCTCAGGGGGTATTTGTAATTTAGCCAAACCTCGGGGGGGTATATGTAATTTGCCCTTGATTTTTTTAATAGATACAAGCATTGCTCCTTTGAATCACAAAATCATGCTTTCTTCATTTTCAATAATATCTTCTATTCCTTCCTATGAAGCACAGATACTCCAAAATAGGTGCTGTACGAGAATACGAATACACGTCCGATACCGCGGAATATGTATCGGATACTATAAATAAGTATCCGATTTTTTATTTTTTTTAATTTCGGATACATAGGGAGGCACGAAGGATACTTGAGGGATACGGCAAGATATGCGAGGGATACGCCAAATAGTATCCAATTTTTTTTCTAATTATTATTTTTTATATTTTAATATACCAAATAAGTATATAATTTTTTTTCCAATTTTTTTATTATTTTATAATTATATTTTTTTCAATGGTCAATACTCTCCACTCTCGTTCTTCTTCTTTTTTTTGCCCCTTCTTTTTTTTTTTTTTTTCCAATTTTTTTTCCCCTACACTATTTTAATGTAAGTATTTCTTTACCAAATTTTTAATTTTAGGAACTTTAATGTTAGTATTTCTTTATTTAATAGGAACCCGTCTCTTTATTTATTAATTTGCTTTAAGTTTTATTTTCATGCATATTACATTATAAAAATTATAAAAATATATTTTTTTACAAATGTATCCCTACTGTACCCGTATCTTACTTTTTCAGATCCGTATCACCGTATCTCGTATCCGTGCTTCCTAGATTCCTTACCCTTCAAACACAACTCATCTAGCAAAGAGAAACAGTCTAATTTGCATGAGAGAATACCAAGCAGAGAGAGATATTGTGCACCATACTTGATTTGCTGTTGTGGTCCTCATGTTTCTTACCAATTTTCAATATTTTATAGTCAAATACATTTGTTTATCAAAATTATGCAATGTTAGTGCTGAGATTTTTTCAACCTCATTATTCTTTTTTTGTTGTTTCGCGTTCATGCAAAGCTAGTCGAAAGGAATGTGCTTCCTGCATGGTTGGGCTACCTGTTCCTTTCCGATATGAATATCTCATGGCTGAGACCATATTCTCTCAGGTAAAAAATGATGTTTGCTCCATTTCTGTTTCTTAAATAATATTGAGTGGCTAAGTTGTTTTTATTCAAGTTCATAATTAGTTTTTGCTCGGTTTTTATGTATACATAAATATGATATAGTTTGTCTATGTGAGAAGTATGCCACATTTGGATATTTTTCATATGTGTGATGTGTAATCACAATTGTCTTATTATTATTTTTTTCCCCAATTTTATTAAAATGACTTTCCTTCTGTATGGATATTGAGGAATCATGGTGTCAGAAGTTAGTTAGATGAGATCAGTAAATTCTTTTTTATTTAAATTGATTTGAAGAAGTGAGCCTACATTTATCTTTTGGGATAACGGGAAGAAGTCTTTTGTCAAACTATTGGTTTTTTTTTTTTTTTTTTTTTTTTTTTTTTTTTTTTTTTTTTGGTGATGTGGAAAAGCTAGGAGAGGAAAATACCAGTAGGTGGTGGATATCTGCTCCAAAAAGTAAGAAAGACTGTATGCAAACAAGATTGGAAAAATGAAGGATAATTACATACAATGGGGGAATGCTTATATGCTGGAAAGGTGGCCTCTTCAGTTGGCTGTCATCCTGAATCCACTAGATTGAAGTCATCATCACATGATATGTAAAAATTTAATGTATAAAGAGAAATAGAGAGAGAATAAATTGTATGTATTATTGATTGATTTCAATTTGTATACAATGACTCTCCTTTATTTAAATTGATTTGAAGAAGTGAGCCTAAATTTATCTTTTGGGATAACGGGAAGAAGTCTTTTGTCAAACTGTTGGTCTTTTTTTTTCTTTCTTTTTTCGTTTTTTTTGTGATGTGGAAAAGCTAGGAGAGGAAAATGCCAGTAGGTGGTGGATATCTGCTCCAAAAAGTAAGAAAGACTGTATGCAAACAAGATTGGAAAAATGAAGGATAATTACATACAATGGGGGAATGCTTATATGCTGGAAAGGTGGCCTCTTCAGTTGGCTGTCATCCTGAATCCACTAGATTGAAGTCATCATCACATGATATGACAATTCCAACAACACCACTTTGTGGATATGGTGGTTTTCCAAATACAATGATCATGATGGTCAAATTGTTTTCCATGAGGATGCCCTACGGACTTTTTAGAGATGGATTTCAACTATAAACTATAAAGAACAGTAAGTGCACAGAACCAAAAAAACAAGTGGTATAATTGGCATTTGAATTGTGGTAAAGGATTTGTTGGACCTGGAAATCGACAGGTGGGTGAAGAAAAAGGTTTAAAATGAAAATGGCATATGTTTGATGAATCGATTAAAGCGATTTTTCTACGTAGTCTACCGAGAAAGAAGTATTGTAAAGTTTTATCACCAAAAAAAAGGGCCATGATTGGATAGCCTTCTGTGAGACTAAGTTACAATAAGTGAGGTCTCCCGTTATGTCATTTGTGACAAATAACACTGGTTGTAGACTTCATACATGCATACATATAAACACTTATGCATGCAGGAATGTGTACATATGTACAGACATTCCTATGTGAATTCATATGTGCAGGAGTTCATAAAATTAGAATCTGTAATTGAGTTTAGAAAATATAAGTCTCTAATGGAGTTTGACGTGTATCACGGATGATATGATAATTCTCATTAGGGGGGCAGTGGGGAGGTCCATTTTTACTGGTCTATGGTGTTCTGAAATGGCCTGGGAGGCTTTTGAGATGTATCACAGGCAAGAGTTGCAGTAACTTTGAACTGGGGTTTTGGGACTTGTTGGAGATCTAAAAAACCACCAGTGGGTGAAGAGAACGGTTTGAAATGAGCATGGCATTAGTTTGGAGTAATGCAATAAAAGAAGTGTTTTGAGGTGTTGTTTATCACTAAAAGGGTCATTTATTGGATCACCATATAATGAGACAATGTCAGAATCAGAGAGTTCCAAATATTATCACCATGAGATAAATAATACTCCATGAAAAGTTTAACAGATTCATGCAGACATTCAGGCATGAATTGTATAACTATACAAATACATACAGACATTCCAGCATGAATGCATATCATCTGTATGTGCACGAGTTGGGCAAGTAAAAAAGCTACTAGCATAGTTTGACTTGTATACAAAGGGTATAATAATATTATCATCATGGTTCTTTTGCTAGTTAAAATCTATGTTTGTTAAAAAATTTCCTTATTTCAATTAGATTGGTTTTCTCTATTGACAAGAAACACCCACTTTTTTCTTTTTTCCCCTGCAGCTACTCTTGTTGCCTCACCCCCCGTTCAAGCCAATGTATTACACATTGGTTATTATTGACCTCTGTAAGGTATTGGAATCTGTTCATTTGATTAAATGTTATCTTTTGGTTCCGGTGGATATACTATTGAGGCTTCAAGAATGCGGTTCTGTAGATTGGTGAGTTTTCTTGCATTTGCAAAGCTTCTGACTGTAAGGTTTCATTTTAGGCTCTTCCAGGGGCCTTTCCAGCTGTTGTTGCTGGTGCTGTACGTGCTCTTTTTGATAAAATAGCTGATTTAGATATGGAATACCGAACACGCCTCATCCTTTGGTTCTCTCACCATCTGTAAGTTCAGGCTTAAATTTTGGCATCCATGCTTATACAATTTGATTTCAGGCTAATAAATATTTTCCTGTTTTTGATGATGTTGAATTTAACTGATGCTCTTAAGCATAATGGCACCTTATAGGCCTTGGAATGTTCTTTTGGTTACACTTTAAATGAAAAGGTGGATTAAGGCATCTAGTTCGTGAAATTTGGTTCAATATAGTAATTTAAATCCATGATTCCATTATTGATGGACTGTTTTTGTATCTAATTGGGAAACTGTTGGGAATGTTTTCAGAGAGAATCGTAGAATGATTTTAATATGGAATACACAGCATACATGCAGTTGAAAATGAGAAAAAAAAATCTTCGAAATAGTGTTCAATCTTCAAATATATTGGCAATTCTCCAGGGATAGTTTTAGGTACCGTTTGGTTTACTTTTCAAAACTCAATTATTTTTAAATCATGATTCGTATCAAAACTCATAACCAAACAAATTTTTAAAATACAACTCAAAATTACTTTCAAAACTCCCCTCTTCTCTTTTTTTAATATTATTATTATTAATCAATTAATCAATCACTTTTTCTCTCTCCTCTCTCATCTCACCTCTCTCCTCTCACATTTTCTCACATCCTATACATCAATCAATCAAAAAAGAAATAAAAAAAATTACAAATCATCCCAAAATTATTTTCAAAACTCATAACCAAACAATTTTTTTCTTTTTAAATCATGATTCAAAAACTCAAAACACAACTCCACTCTCAAATCATAATTCTAAAACTGAACCAAACGGGCCCTTAGTTTTATTTTTTTCATTTGATGAGGTGTACGGTATAGAGGGAAAGTTTTGGGGATCTTTAGAAAATTGCCATTGCATGCATTTGTCAATTTGTAAATGTTCTAAGATTGATGAATTTGCCATGTCTTGTCTTCATCCTTTTGTACTGTGTGCATATAGAACAATTTTTTCTCCTGCAATTGTTTGCCTTCAGTCATTTTTGAATAATGCCTTCTTGATTTTTTATTTGTTAAATTTGTTGGTGGCTTCTTGGTTTTGCAGATCAAACTTCCAATTCATTTGGCCATGGGAAGAATGGGCTTATGTCTTAGACCTTCCAAAATGGGCACCACAACGTGTTTTTGTTCAGGAGGTCTTGGAGAGAGAAGTCCGTTTGTCATATTGGGACAAAGTTAAGCAGGTAGTAAAGTATGCCGAACTGCTAATACATTGATGGCGGCTTATTCAATTTTCTTCAGAAATTAGATTTGAATATTGTGACTGGGTGACATAATAGAGTGGGAGATTTTGCGGGGTTTGACATGAAAAAGAGCATTTAGTAATCTAGATGTTGGCAAGGGCCTCAATTTCCTTGTCAATAATGCTACAGTTGACCATATTTTCTACCACATTTTGTTCATATCCACAACTGTTGAATATTAATGGTGCTCACCCTTTACATTTGTGGTTGTGGTTGTGGATGTGCCACGTCAGGTGGTAAATTAAAAATTGTTTGGCCTTCTCCTTTTTCTTCATATGAATCAATTGCTGCAACATGTGGTTCAATTGCCAAAAAACAAGTACTGCAACAAGTACTTCATATTTTCTGCATGTTATAAATTTCATGATACTGATTGGATATTAGATTCCATTCGATATAATAGTTACATGCTGTATTGTCAAATTTTAACTTTGAAGCCTCAGGTGGACTTGTACAAATTGTCATTAGATGGTTTCATTTTTGGACAGAAGGGGATGGGTAATTAGTTGTGTTGAACTTACACTAAGTACCCTGTAGTGATCATTTTGCACTGCAGTGCAATTATGGAAGTTGAATTTTACTTGAATGGAAACGTTCATGTATCTGCCTTGTCTTCAACTAGGGGAAAGTGGAAGGAAGAGGAAAAATTTTAGATAGTGTTTGGTAGAGTTTTAGAATTATGATTTGAGAATAGAGTTGTATTTTGAGTTTGTGAGTTTTGGAATTATGATTTGAAAAGAGAAAAGTTGTTTAGTTATGAGTTTTGAAAAGAGTTTTCAAAATTTAATTTAAAAACTTATAATTCATAACCACACACACAACTCAAAACTCTATTGAAAATTTTGTTCAAAATTCATAACCAAATTCCTTTTAAAATTCAATTCAAAAAAAAAAATTGCATTTTGGTCTAAAAATAATAATTTCTATATTTAAAAAATATCAAAAACAAATTTTTTTTTTTTTTTCAAATAATCACAAAATCTTTCCCTCATCCTATTTCATGTGTGCAAAAAAAAAAAATAAAAATAAAAAAAAAAAAAAAAAAACTAAACTCTATTCCGGTCAACTGGCCAGACATCCGAGGATGTCCGGGGGGACCACCCAAAGCGCAAATTCAAAAATCAAAAACTCACACTACTAAACATGCATTGGAATGTGTTTTCAAATGTGGCGTTGGAATTAATTTTTGAAAACTTCAACCAAATATAACATTGGAATGTAGGGGTAGAATTATAATTTGAAAGCTATACCAAACACAGCATGTTTCCTTAATTCTAAAATAGTATGCTTCTCACCTGCATTCGGCATAGAAGAGTTTTGATATTTTTTTTCATTGTATTTTGTCTGCATAGAGCATTGAGAATGCCCCTGCTTTAGAGGAGTTGCTTCCTCCAAAGGGTGGACCAAACTTCAAATACAGTGGCGAAGATGGAACTGAACATGCACTTTCTGTGGAACTCAGTGGCATGGTGAAAGCAAGGCAAACTATCCGTGAAGTTATTTCATGGATGGAAGAAAATGTAATGCCGGCTCATGGTTTTGAAATTACGCTCAGTGTGATTGTTCAGACCCTTCTTGACATTGGTTCAAAAAGCTTTACTCATTTGATCACTGTCTTGGAGCGGTATGGCCAAGTGATTGCAAGGATTTGTACTGATCAGGACAAGCAAGTGATGCTGATAGCTGAAGTGAGCTCTTATTGGAAGAACAGTGCCCAAATGACAGCTATAGCCATTGATCGAATGATGGGTTATCGGCTTATATCTAATTTGGCCATTGTGAGATGGGTCTTCTCTCCAGCAAACATTGAGCAGTTTCACACCACTGACCATCCATGGGAGGTACACAACTGCATCATCTGCTATATAGTGAATTCTCTTTTCCACAGAATTCTTGATCATTTCTTTTTTCTTTGTTCGTGCAAAATTCCTATTTTTATCTGACGTGGATTTGATGTCATATTCTGGATGAGCAATTGATATTTTTGGTTATAGCAAACCTATTGTTGAAAATGGGGGAGAACACATAGCCTGATGGAAGATTAGGAAACAATGTATTTGCTTCATTAGAGTTGCATGGAAAGTCTAGTGTTTGACCCCTTCAATTATATACAAGTTAACAATTTCCAATTTCCCAACAGCAATTACTACCCTCGGCATCATGTTTGGAAATATTTGATAAACAGTACACTACAAATTTATGGCTGCTTCACCTTCCGTATGATCTGCACAAAGTGAAGGAAGCATCATCAGAGAAAATCTTCCATAGGGCTCAAGGGCTGCATAATATATGAAAAGGTCATTCCCAGTATCACAATTCATATGTTTGGCCATTCCCGTCTCCTTCACTGTGACCACATAATCAGGATTTGTATTTTTCGTGATCTTCATTGGGTCAACCTTTTCACTTCTGGTTCCTTGTGGTAGTAGTTATCTGTTCTTCCTTCGCATACTCACTTTTTACTGTCCAAGAATTATTCATACAATCACTTGTGATACCAATATGATGTTTAGTTGGATGTTATCATAGCTATTATTAATATACCACCTGAGCTGGACAATTTTTCTGTTTTGTGCTATCCCAAATCAAATGGGAAAGAATTATGTTGTTTCTGTTATCTTTCAAGATGTATGTGATTTGTTCTCTATATAATTTTTTTTTTTTTAAATTAAAAAAATTAAAACAGATACCTTTTTGACTGGTTGTAAACATTTTTGCCCTTTGTTCATGCTTTGCAGATTCTTAGAAATGCTGTTAATAAGACATACAATCGTATTTCTGATCTAAGAAAAGAGATTTCAGTCCTCAAGAACAGTGTTGTGTCAGCTGAGGAAGCTGCAACTAAAGCCAAAGCTGAGTTGGAGGGCGCTGAGGCAAAGCTTACGCTTGTAGATGGTGAGCCTGTTCTGGGTGAAAACCCTGCGAGATTAAAGCGTTTGAAAGCTAATGCAGAAAAAACAAAAGAGGCGGAGGTATCTGTTTGTGAATCTTTGGAGGCGAAGGAGGCTTTGCTTGCTCGAGCCCTTGAAGAAAATGAGGTACCTTTTACAAATGTTATGTACACATTGTCATTCTTTTTTACAAAGAAAAAAACTTTTTTACAAAGAAAAAAAAAAAAAAAAAAAAAAACTATTCAACTACTTCTTGTTACGATGTCATACTGTTTCATAGAAGAAGTGCGTTTCATATTCGCAATATATGCAAGATGCGGACAACTATTAGATTGCCTGCTAAAGAGACTAGTGAATTTCCAATTACTATAGAGTTACACCAAGGATCAACCTTAAGTCCTTATTTTTTTGCTTTAGTTATGGATGAGTTGACGAGAAATATTCAGGATTTTGTGCCATAGTATATGTTTTTTGCAGATGATATCGTGTTAGTGGATGAAATTAGAGGAGTTAACACTAAGTTGGAGACTTGGAAAGAAACACTTGAATCTAAACATTTTCGTTATTTAAGATCGATTATTACAACGGCTGGGGAGATTAGAACAGATGTGATCCATAGAATTAAGGCGGGGTAGCTTAAGTGGTGTAGTGCGTCTGGGGTAATGTGCGATAAATGATTACCCACTAGACTAAACGGCAAGTTCTATAGAATGACTATTAGACCAACGATGTTGTATGGGTCGAAATGTTGGGCAATTAAGAAATAAAATGTAAATAAGATGAGTGTTGCTGAGATAAGAATGCTAAGGTGGATGTGTGGCAAGATTAGAATAGATAGAGTTAGGAATGAGTATATTCGAGAATGGGTAGTAGTATCGATGGAAGATAAGTTGAGAGAAAATAGATTGAGATGGTTTGGTTATATACAATGGAGACCAACAGAGGCAGTAGTGAAGAGATGCGATACAGTGATGGTAGATGGAAGTGTTAGGGGAAAGGGCAGACCTAAATTGATGTGGGCTAGTGTAATAAAAAGAGATATGAACCTTCTTAATTTGACTAACAAAATGACTTTGGATAGAGTTGAGTGAAGAAGAATTCATGTAGCCGACCTCATTTGATGGGACTTAAGGCTTGGTTTGGTTTGGTTTGGTTTATGCAAGATGCGGAATCTATTGTATAAGAATTTTGCCATCGTGGCTATAATTTTCCATTCTTTTGCTTTTTGTTGGTGTGAATTTGTTTGTCAGCACGGTCTTCTTTATCATTTCATGTTGGGTAAATTACACCCTCCCTTAAGGATGACAGAAGATGCACTGAGTCTCCCAAATTTGGCATAATTATTTTGGGCTCCCTTAAGGTTTTAATTCCATTATATTTGGCCCTTTTTTTAATCAATAATTCGTTAGTCACATAGATGAAAAAATGATGATTTCATCTCTTTTGTATTGAAATGTATATTTTGCTTTGTTTATCACTCTGTCTACAGACCATCTACATTCGTTCCGGATGCTTTAGCTTTAATAAAAGGGAGGTCGGTGTAATTATGCTAAAGTTGTGGGACTTATTGTATTTTCTCTATATCTCAAGGGTAGTCAGTGTAATTTGCCCTTTTATATTTCATTTGTCGGTGTAGAGAGAGTGAAGCTTTTGCTTCTGGATCAAGTCAAATAACTAAAATTTTGTGTGCAGTCCTGGGCCTTGCCCTCCTTTATATTTGCAATATATGCAAGATGCGGACAACTATTAGATTGCCTGCTAAAGAGACAAGTGAATTTCCAATTATTATAGAGTTACACCAAGGATCAACTTTAAGTCCTTATCTTTTTGCTTTAGTTCTGGATGAGTTGACGAGAAATATTCAGGATTTTGTGCCATGGTATATGTTTTTTGTAGATGATATCGTGTTAGTGGATGAAATTAGAGGAGTTAACACAAAGTTGGAGGCTTGGAAAGAAACACTTGAATCTAAACATTTTCGTTATTTATGATCGATTATTACAACGGCTGGGGAGATTAGAACAGATGTGATCCATAGAATTAAGGCGGGGTAGCTTAAGTGGTGTAGTGCGTCTGGGGTAATGTGCGATAAATGATTACCCACTAGACTAAACGGCAAGTTCTATAGAATGACTATTAGACCAACGATGTTGTATGGGTCGAAATGTTGGGCAATTAAGAAATAATATGTAGATAAGATGAGTGTTGCTGAATAAGTATGCTAAGGTGGATGTGTGGCAAGATTAGAATAGATAGAGTTAGGAATGAGTATATTCGAGAATGAGTAGTAGTATCGATGGAAGATAAGTTGAGAGAAAATAGATTGAGATGGTTTGGTTATATACAATGGAGACTAACAGAGGCAGGCAGTAGTGACCAGATGCGATACAGTGACGGTAGATGGAAGTGTTAGGGGAAAGGGCAGACCTAAATTGATGTGGGCTAATGTAATAAATAGAGATATGAACCTCCTTAATTTGACCAACGAAATGACCTTGGATAGAGTTGAGTGAAGAAGAATTCATGTAACCGACCTCATTTGATGGGACTTAAGGCTTGGTTCGGTTTGGTTTGGTTTATGCAAGATGCGGAATCTATTGTATAAGAATCTTGCCATCGTGGCTATAATTTTCCATTCTTTTGCTTTTTGTTGGTGTGAATTTGTTTGTCAGCACGGTCTTCTTTATCATTTCATGTTGGGTAAATTACACCCTCCCTTAAGGATGACAGAAGATGCACTGAGTCTCCCAAATTTGGCATAATTATTTTGGGCTCCCTTAAGGTTTTAATTCCATTATATTTGGCCCTTTTTTTAATCGATAATTCGTTAGTCACATAGATGAAAAAATGATGATTACATCTCTTCTGTATTGAAATGTATATTTTGCCTTGTTTATCACTCTGTCTACAGACCATTGAGGATGACAGAAGATGCACTGAGTCTCCCAAATTTGGCATAATTATTTTGGGCTCCCTTAAGGTTTTAATTCCATTATATTTGGCCCTTTTTTTAATCGATAATTCGTTAGTCACATAGATGAAAAGATGATGATTACATCTCTTCTGTATTGAAATGTATATTTTGCCTTGTTTATCACTCTGTCTACAGACCATCTACATTCGTTCCGGATGCTGTAGCTTTACTAAAAGGGAGGTCGGTGTAATTATGCTAAAGTTGTGGGACTTACTGTATTTTCTCTATATCTCAAGGGTAGTTAGTGTAATTTGCCCTTTTATATTTCATTTGTCGGTGTAGAGAGAGTGAAGCTTTTGCTTCTGGATCAAGTCAAATAACTAAAATTTTGTGTGCAGTCCTGGGCCTTGCCCTCCTTTGTTATGTCTCCTATTGTGAAGTATTCCCTCCAGTGGGGGTTTTGATATGTGTTATGAATTAGTTGATGTCAACTTTTTAATTACTGAAAGGAAGGGGCCAGTGGGAAAGGAACCTCTGTGTTGAATCCATTCCAAAGTCCACCTGTTTGATTGTGCAGTGAAATTGCTGACTTGGCCTTGCACATGCTTGTAAAGCACAAATCAACCTGCACCAATTTCTTTAGTCCATAGCTTATTGACATTTTAACTGGCATGTACAGGCATTGTTCCTTTCCTTGTTTAAAAACTTCTCAACTGTTATGATGGAACGTATACATGATGCATTTAGAGATGGAACATTGCGCCAGTCCCACCAAGCGGATGAAATGGCAATTGACCTTGAAGACTCATCTGCAATGGAGTTGGACAAAGAGAATGGAAAACCTAAGAAAAGGTTCCCCACCGATCCTTTCTCATTTCTAGTAGTTGTATCTTTGCAAGTGGTGTATTGATAGTCTTTGTTTCTTTTTGTTGGTTTTGGGCCAAATTGGTAGCCATTCAAATGGAGAACGGGCCAATGGTTTTAATGTTGGCGAAAAAGAGCAGTGGTGTTTATCGACACTGGGTTACGTGAAGGCCTTTTCAAGGCAGTATGCTTCTGAGGTAAGTGTGGTTTATGGTAGCTCTGCCTCACTATCTTCTCGAACTTCTCCACAGTATTGGTTCTAGCCATTCAATTCTTATGTAATCTTCTCTCATTTTGAGACTCAGTTTCTACACAATTTGCACGTATGATTGGGTATATACATCTTTAGTGGCCTATATTTAAAAGACCAATTTGCCATTTTGAACAATTTACCAGCAAATAAAATGCAATGCATTGTCCTACTGACATTTCAGGAAACCTCTAGGAGAATTAATTTACAGCTGCCTATATAGGTTAAATTTAACGCTGGTTGACAAAAGTAGTGGTGTTGGATTTTATTTTTGCTCCAAAATTAGAATGGCTTTGTTGCTGGTGAAACAAAAATTGAACTTTATGAGATTTGTTCCAGAAATTTCCTCTACTTCATGCCCAGATAGATCCTAGATTTCTTTAGAATGAGAGTAATTGCACCTGATTCCTAGTTTGAACCTTTTTAGTCCTTTTTCTTTTAATTGGTTTATAATGTTTTCGACAGATATGGCCCCATATTGAGAAGCTCGATGCAGAGGTATTCACAGAGAATGTGCACCCTCTTTTCCGCAAGGCTGTCTATTCTGGGCTGAATCGACCTTTGAATGACTTGGGATCTGGTCAATAGTTTTGGTGACATTTTCTTCTTTTGACATGAGGTGTTTTGATAGTGGATGTAAAATGAGCGGAAATAATTGATATTGGGATGGTTTAAGTTTGTACTGAGGGTAGCTATATCTGTTAAATTTGTAGAATAACTGGGGATATTAAAAGTTTGAGCAGCAGGATGGTGGTAATTTAGGACTTTATTTTTTTAAAAAAATTCACCTATTTTAAGACACTTTTCATCCCAATCCTGATATTAAACAATGCTTTGTGGGTATCTATTAGCATTTTTGGGTGAGTACTCTAAATCATGGTTTTCACCTCGTGGTCAAGTGTATGTTCATAGTTGAGTTCTATGTGGTTTTTAGTTTTTTCTCTTCAATTCAGAAATGCAAAAAATTAAAGCTTTTAATGAAACTAGAAAATTATGACTTATGCAAAACATAGGGGAAAATGACTATGTATGGGATAATTGAAGAAATTAGTTGTGTTAAATTTTTAAAAATTAAGGAGCTCACAAGTGACAAAAAAAAAAATTATTGATTGATCTAAGAATGTCAGTGGTTATATCTTTTACCAATTACAATTCACCATATTTTTTCAAGTTCCTCAATTACTTAATATAAATTTGTTGGTTTTGTCCCTTCACTAGTCACAATAATAATATTGTTATTGAGTATATATTTATTGCACTAGTACTATTAGTATTAAAATTTAGAATAAATCACAAGCATATGACCTAAGGTTTGATTAAAATATGAATCGTCTTCTGTAATTTTGAAAATTATATTCTATCTTCTGAGATTTTTAATTTTATAAAAAAAATTGTTTTTTTTATTAATAAATTATCAAGTCAATTGACAGTTTTTAATGATATATTCATGATATTAAAAATATGTTTTCATTAATAATTTAGATAATTTTATTATTGTATAAAAAAGTAATTATGAATTTTATTTTTTCAATTAATTCTGTCAAATAAAAAATTTCCAACAGGGGTATTCGTAATTTTTTAAATTACAATGAGCAATTTGTATTTTAAACAAATCTTAGGGGGTATATTTGTAATTTATCCTAAAATTTAAATTTAATTACATTTTACTTTTAAAAGTTATTATTGAATATTATATTATTTTATTTTATTTTATTTTATTTTTAATTGAAAAATATATATATATTTAAACTCACAATTATAAAAATTAGAGGAAATTACAGGAGAAGGGAAAAAAATATATGTATTTCATTTGTACACCACCACAAACACACTTACACCCTTATATGTAGATAATTTTGTAAAAAATGCTATGAACCTCTAATAATCCATCAAATTTTTTACTAAATCTCTCACATGAGTGTAAGATTCACACAAACCCACATGTATATGGGTCCCGCATCCATGTGAAAGATTTGATCCAATGACCAACCCCTACGTGTATGGGGTATATCCAATGACCAACCCTACACTATCTCCTTCCTCATAACTCCGTTTCGCCTCATTTTTACGTCGTTGAATTCAACTCATGATCTAGTTTTCATATCACATCTCACACTTCTCGTTCTTCCTTTTTTTACATGTTATTGGAGCTCTAAAAGTTGATAAAAAAATAAGACTTTTCTTCGAGCCATTTTTGGAACTTCATATATTTCTCAATTCTTAACGGTTCTACTTCATTCTTTCGTCATTCTCCTCACCTCACTTTCTACTTCGCCCTGCATTACCTCGCTTTCTCACTTCTTCGTATAATGGGCGATTTTGGTATGCCGAAAGTTGTCCGAAAACTAATTTTGAAAATTTCAAAACATTCATCTTTTGTTTCTTTCTTCTCCATCTTCATCATTCTTCTTCTTCTTCACTTATAAAATGATGTGAAACATAGTTTTAGGTGGTAACGGAGTTGGTGATGGTGGTGGTTGCGGTCTAGCGACGGCGACGGCGATGACGCTCGCAATAATGGTGGTCGTGGAGTTTAAAGGTAGTAGTAATGGAATTTGCTTGTAAAAGAGGTGGGTTTGGTGTTTGAAAGGTGGTGGTGATGGTGATGCTCATGGTGGTAGTTAAGTTGGTGGTTCGGGTGGTGATGAGAAGATAATACAAAACTAAAATAGGCGTTATAGCGATCCCGGTATTCCCTGTTGTTATTGAACTGTAATCCGGACTTGGTTCCGTAGGTTTGTTGTTGTCTTATCCTCTTTTCTATCCCTTACTCTTTGTCTTAGAGTTTTGGGTTGTGTTGGACTTGTTGGGAATAAGTTGGTTATGTTTTAGAACTTAGAATCTTTGCCCAGTTTTTGGCCTCTCCGCTCGAGCGGGGGTTTCGGCGCTCGAGCAGGAAAATCACCTTCCCAGTATTTTCCTCTGTAGTGTTGGACGCTCGAGCGTGAGGCTTGACGCTCGAGCGGGAGTTTGTGTGTGACGCTCAAGCGGGGCGTTGGACGCTCGAGCGGGGACCTGTTCTGCAAAAGTTCTGGGAGCGTGCATCCACCGCTCGAGCGGGGAATTGGACGCTCGAGCGAGGATCTGTGAGTGACGCTCGAGCAGGGAGTTCGACGCTCGAGCGGGTCGATCTGTATAACACACCGAGATTCAGCTTTTTGAGTCACTTTTTGATTTCCTTTCTCTCTCTTACTTTTCCGAAAAGCCATTGGAGAGCACCTCACTCTAAAACCTAACTTCTCTCTTAGGATTGATCTAGCTAGAGTGTTTTCCTCACCTTGGGCCTTTGTAAGAAGTGTGTTGATCGTCGAGGGCTTCGTTGTGATCCAAGAAATTTGGGATTTGGAGCACTTTGATTTCAAATCATCTTCTCTATTTGAGTTTTTCATTTGAGGTAGGGATTCTCCTTGTTCTTTTTCAATACTCCGTCTACAGATAGACATGTGGTAATTTTTGTATTGCATGAAAATTGTATCACGTTGGATTTGTTTACAAATCATGAAATAAACCTAGGGTTGGTTGTGTAGAGAATGGGTTGGCTTCATTGATTGTTGTCTTGGCTAAAATAAATATAAATTAGCATGTTGTAGTTAAATGAGGAAAAGCCCTAAATTATATTTCGGTTGAGTAAATTATAATGGGGGTTTGTTGACCATTGTGTGTAAATCTCTTTTGTCAAATGAGTGTGGTAAGGGTGTTAATACCTAAAGGATTAACCATGGCTTGGGAATTGATTTTATGGAAACAAGATTAGTGGAGTTGGTTTTGTGATAACAAAAAGGAAATGGAATCGTTTTTGTGAAAATGAGGGAAGTGTTTTCGAAATAAGTTTGAGAATTGGATTGTGGTATCTTGAGTGTTGAACACACATGTAGAAGTTGTATCTTTAACTATCATGTTAATATTGCTGTTGGGTTCGTGATTCATGATATTTGAGTCTTTTAATAGATGTACTAACTATATACATCTAGAGGTTTTGTCCTTGGTTATCGGTGGAGGATGACACGGTTGTGTAGAATTGTCGGGTATGCATTGTGCCATTGATTAATTGAACATCGTATGTGATGAAGTGCTAGATACATTATATATATGTATATTTGCTCGGAAGGAGATAGTCATGTGTTCATATATTTTAACACATTGCTGGTGTCTTGATAGTTTATGTATATGCATTATACATGTCGGTTATGCCTTGATGTGCTGTGATTGTTGGTGTTATACCCCACGCTTATAATCAAAGGTACCGTTACCTTCCAGCTAGCGCCTGGAGAACTGACTGCGCTAATAATCGAAGGTACCATACCCCTCCAGCTAGCACCTGGTAAACTGGCTTGTTGTTAATGTTGTTGAGTGGGGTGTATTGTTGGCTTACTACGCACATAGCTAGTAGAGTGAAATGGGATTGTTGTTGTTTCGTTGTAACTGAAAATATCATGGATTTGATTGGTTACAGTTCGGAGGACCGAGTTGCTCCATTGGTTGATTGTATACATGTTGGTGAGTCGTAAATTTATATTTTTACAAAGTTATGCATGTATAGTTATGATAGAAATGGAAACGAACCAAAATGTCTTTTTTCTGTCTTTTGGAAAGTGTGGAGAAGAACGAATGTTTTATAGATAAACATGTTTGAAAAGGTACATCTGAGTATGTATAGGAAATGGAAGAGGGTATCGGGCTTGGTGAGATTATTTCCTAAGTATTTGTTAATGTTATGAAAGATTGGGAATGGGGATAAATGAAAGGAAAAAGGAAAGACAAACCACTTGTAGCGTTGAATGAAACGGTTGTTTTCGAGAAAAGTTCATACATATATATTTTGTATAAACGGTCACATTACTATTCTAGTACGAGAATGAGTGTTCATGATCATAGCTATCTGTAAGTTGTTATTGTTGAGGATCATGTTGAGTTCCCTACTGGACTATATGTTCATCCCACGTTGTTGAATCTTTTTCAGGTATTAAGCAGGTTGAGCTGCAAGATTTGGATCTACTTATTTACTGGCCAAGGGGCCTCAGTTATGTTGGCAGAATGCCATTGTTGTAAAAGGGTTACACCATTCTTCTTGTATCTTAAGTGATGTAAGCCCAAGGGCAATTTATTAAGTATGTTCATGTAATATTTACTTTGCATACGAATGAGAGTATTGTTAATCACTTCTACGGATTGAATGTATGAGTTTATTTTCCGTATGTTATCCTTGAAATTGAATTAAGTTAATGAATTTGGTAATGACTTCGAGTAATAAAAAGTGGGGCGTGACACGTTGGCATTCCATTCCAATTTTTAACATACCAAACGTGCTTCAAATCTTATACAACCAGTGATTAAGTCCGAATGTGTTGCACCTCATGAAATTGGACCAAGAGACCTCAAGAAATTATCTATTATTAGAAAACCACATTCAATACTGTTAATCACTGAGCTACCTGTGTGGGTTAAATCTATGGAACATGTCATATTTTTTATAATGTCAACTGAAAATTTATCACTATCTCTATTGTCAATAAATATATGAACAAGCCAATCACCATTTAAAATTAGAAAAAAAAAATTATAGTAAACAGTCATTCAAGCAAATAATGGAAGCACGGTCTGACATAGATGCCAACTCTTACATATTGAAGTCTTGTGTGGAGACCACGACCATGGTCTCCAATTTGTCACGCCGTTTGCAAAGTAGAATAAATTAGGTGCAATAGTTAACAGCATAACTCTCTCTATTCTACCGTATGTATCAAGACGTGCGACGGGAGATTAGTTATTTGAAGAGGCAAAACATAGAGTTAAAGCGCCAGGCAACAAACATGGAAAGATTTGCGGTGCCTTGGTATTTCTCATTCGATGGCC